ATGGAGTTCATATTAATTTTAAGATTATACTGAAACAATAACCGTGCTTACTATATTTTGGGAGACACAATGTAAGAAGCATTAATGCATCATGGAGACAATATACTGTATATCTGGCAGATCATAATGATCAAATTATGGTAACCAGGTAACTAATCATTTTTAAATGTTTAAATTTCCAGTCTAGTCCTTTCCATTACGCATTTATTTGAAGAGTATTATGAACTAGAGCAAAATAATTGAAACTGAATCAATTCCAACCAAACTCAATGGTTTTGTCGGATTCTGTAAAGAATCGAATCATTATCAGATGAAATATTTAGTCAAAAGTTCTTGCAAAAGTATTAGAATACATATATAGTCTTTCATTTATGTGGAACCTGATACAAATGAGGATCAGCTCAGTCCCTGTACCATCTATACACCATATATTTATGATATCCATCTCAGATGCTTCATCATGACTTTCTGATCATGAGTGGAATGACCTTTATCACTCTTTGTAAATGATCATGATTTCTTTGACTGCTCACGGGTGCATATTTACTCATCTGTTCAGATCCGCCGCTTGGAGATTCAATCTTTTCGTCTCCTGTCCCTGTTATGCGCACCTTCAAGCTGTTTAATTAAAGCATGTATTATTAATCCGACTATATTGGAGTCGTTTTTCCCGTGCCTGCGCAGATATGACTGCTACATTACGGGTAAATTGTTTTGCAGTAATTCCCATTTAATGTTTCTCTCATAATCAGTGGCGTTAGTGCAGCGAGAGGAGAGCCAGGACAGGGGAGGCCGTCGCTGTAGCGCACCGTTTGATGTGCCAATCGCATATTTGGGGCCTGTAATTAGGTCTGTTTTACAAGTCAAATGCAGCGCCGATGACAGTCGCAAAATATGAGCTTAATAAAAAGTGCCAGCTGAGACGATGCTTCCCCCGTCCTCGTCTTTTTCTCTGTCTCTCGCGCTCGGAAATATCAGTGTAAAGTCAGCTCAAGGCCAGTAATGATTCTTTCTGACTTCACAGTTGTTCATTCTAATATACGGCCGACCATATCTCGCAGATATTAGGATTATCAGACCTCAACGCTCGTATATCTAGAGGGGCCGGAAGCCATATTGGTACCAGACATTTGATTACTTGATTACTATACATTTATTCTAACTGAATGGAAATTGGTTTGATACAGTTCGAGTGATTAGTTAGTTGATAGCCGTTCTTAAAGGAGTAGTTCACTTTTGAGAGAACTTTTGCTGATAATTTACTCACCCCCATGTCATCCAAGATGTCCATGTCATTCTTTCTTCAGTCGAAAAGAAATGAAGGTTTTTGATGAAAACATTCCAGCATTTTTCTCCATATAATGGACTTCAATGGGAACCAAACGGTTCAAGGTCCAAAAGACAGTTTCAGTGCAAACTGTGCAAAGGGCTTTAAACGATTCCAGACGATGAATAAGGGTTTTATCAAGCGAAACGATCGCTCATTTAATAAATAAATAACAAAGTTTAAGTTTTATAAGCTCAAATGGTCGCCTTGCTCTGTTCTGTGATTCGAAGGGTTCGAACTTGTTCATCAAAATGAACAAATCTTTTTCCAAGTCATTTGGTTCATTCAACGAACGAAACTAACGAATTGACTTGGGAAAAGTGAACTACTCCTTAACTGTTCAAAAGTTCACCAGGTCTCCTTTAAGGACCATAAGAATGTTTGTTATGGGCCATTCCTGTTTTGTATTACCTTTCAACTCTTCAACATTTTGTTTGTGTTGTCATTTAAGTGGAAGTATTTCCGTAAAAAAAGTTTCAAACTCAAACATGTGTTTATTTATACAATAAGAAGAGCAGGATGGACATAAAGAGCCATTGCAAGTTAATGATATATTATAATAATAAATCTTTTGAAATATTGATAGTATGATTTTGGTTTGTAATATTTTATCAAACAGGATAATGCAAACATGACAATTGATCCATTGATAATACTTAACTGATGTCACTTCCTGTTGGATGATGTCATTATGGAACTGGCTCTTGATAGTTAGAACCGTTCAGCTCATGCAGAAAACAATGATAAACATCAATTTCTGAATATAAGATTTATTTTTATATTTTTGTAAAAATAACTAAAAGGTTCAAATAAAAAATAAAATACTTTATTTGGTATATTGGCATAATTCTTAAAAAGCAATGAAGAAGTTTGTTTTAAAATATGAATGCATCATAACTTTTCTGTTGAAAACAAAATATATATGTCTCATTTTAGAAACATTCAATCAATATCTACAGAAAATGCTAAAAAATAATCTGACATAAATATAAAAAATTAATTTCTAAGAACACATCACATGCATTTTGAAACTGAAGATTTGTCCTTTTTTATAATTTCAGGCATCCCGTTCATCATTGGCACTGGATTGTTTGCAGCATCACTTCCTGTCTTCGTCATTTTGGTCGCTTTAATCCTGTTGAAAGATCAAATTAAAGAATATTTTTAAAGAGATTCAGCTCACTGTACTCTCAAAAGTGTGTGGTCGTCAGTAAGTTTCAGAAAGAAGTCTCTTCTGTTCACTAAGGCTGCAGTTATTTGATTTTATAAAATAAAACAGTAAAAGCAGTATAGGCTAATATTTTAAGATAATATATTAGCAATTAAAAATAACTTTATTTGAATATAATTTAAAATTTAATTTATTCCTGTGATGGCAAAGCTGAATTTTCAGAAATCATTGTAACATGCTGATTTGCTGCTGAAGAAACATTTATTATTATTATTATTATCATTGTTGAAAACAGTTCATAGTTTTGTTGAAACCATTTTTTTTTTTCAGGATTCTTTAAAACAAAAACAAAAATTCAGGATTTTTTAAAGAATACAAAATTGTAAAAAAAAAAAAAAAATGATTATGATTATGACATGTTTTTACTTTAATTTTCAACTCTTTTTATAAGTTATACAAGATTCAACCCATTTTTAAGTAAGTTTAATGTAATTTAATTTAAGGTTGTACTTGAAAATTTAAGGCAGCAACTTTTTAACTTGGTGTTGTGTCCATTTTACTCTTGTGACTGTCTTTTCCCTCATCTCTCTCTCTCTCTCTCTGTTTGACTCTTCTGCTCTCCTCCATCTATCGATACTCTTGTCATTTATCTGGACACGGCAGCCTCGTCCGCCATATTGATTCTGTACAGGCAATTTACTGGGAAATGGCAGTGAAGCAGGGATTTATTGTGCAGCCACTTCATTGTCAGATGATGGGTGTAAAATGTGATCGTAACGAGGGGAATGAGGTGGGCCACTCTGTCGTAAATAACTCGGGTCCCCGCTGTGTTAGCGCTCTCTGATACAGATGAGTATTCAAAGAGCCACAGAGGAAGATATTTAACCTCATGTATTCACACCTATCATGATCAGCTGGAGATGGATATAGTATTTCCCCTGAGGGATAACTCAAATGGTATATATCTTAACATATAGTCATAACCTGTTTAACCCATGCCATGTTCCGGATGGATTCTGATTGCCTCCCAATGTTTTTAATGTTCATCAGCCATATAAAAAACATAATTTTGAACGGGATTCTAGTTATATCTTTACTCTGTGCTGTTACGTCATACTTGTGGTTTAGACTTCAATTTTTTTATATGTATTTTGAGTGATGGTTCCCTGGAGATCAGAGTGCATATGTTCAGGTTTAAACACTTCCCAGTCTTTTACCCCCAAAATATTTTCTTTTTACTTGGTTATTGAAAAAAAAAAAAAAAGTCGAGCACGATCCAACATCCATTTCCTATCTACCAGATTTTAGGGTTGAGGTTAGGGGTGAAAAACATTGTTATTAACCAATCAACACACCAATAGGGAAAGTTAAATATGACACCACTAGTGGCAGCAAAAGGAATTGCATTGCGTAGCTTGACTGGACCTGATGCGCCCTTCAAATGCAGTAGAAAATATCATGAATAAAGTGGGAAACTCCGAATTCTAGATGATATCTGATTTGTGATCTCGTAAAAGGAGTGTCTATTTGAAACATGGTGGAAATGTTGATCTATAATTTGAACAATACAATATATCTGTAATTTATAGACCAGTGAGTGGAAAGCAAGTCCTTGGTAAATGGTTTAAAGTACTTTATTTGGTATATTGGCATAATTATTCATTCTTAAAGGAGTAGTTCACTTTTAAAAACTTGTGTTGATGATTTACTCACCCCCATGTCATCCAAGATGTCCACGTCTTTCTTTCTTCAGTCGAAAAGAAATTAAGGTTTTTGATGAAAACATTCCAGGATTTTCTCCATATAATGGACTTCAATGGGAACCAAACGGTTCAAGGTCCAAATGAGAGTTTAAGTGCAGCTTCAAAGGGCTTTAAACGACACCAGACGATGAATAAGGGTCTTATTTAGGACCCTTCGAGTCATGACTCGAAAAAAGATTTATTCATTTTGATGAACGAGTTCGAACAGGAGAGTCACGAACGCGCATCACAGAACAGAGCAAGGTGAGCATTTGAGCTTATAAAACTTGAACTTTTTTATTTATTTTTGAAATGAGCGATCGTTTCGCTTGATAAGACCCTTATTCATCGTCTGGAATCGTCTAAAGCCGTTTGAAGCTGCACTAAAACTCTCATTTGGACCTTAAACTGTTTGGTTCCCATTGAAGTCCATTATATGGAGAAAATCCTGGAATGTTTTCATCAAAAACCTTAATTTCTTTTCGAATATATTGCTAGATCAACATCCATTTCCTATCTATCAACTTTTTCAGTTTGTCTTATGTAACAAAAATATTACATTTTGATATCAAGGGATAGAAATAAATGTTTTGCTGGTGAATAGTTATCTGGGTTTGTTTTGTCTGTGTTTCTGACATGCCGTAATAACGAATTCTCGCCACTATGGTACGAATTTTTAGATTATCAACCAATGGCGAAGAAGACGAGTGTTTGAAACTCCACACTTCCCTCAAAGGTAACTGAAATCGCTATATCATCCAGAAAAATCGCTATAATCAGAATGTATAAAGTAGCTAATGACCTTGTCCTACTCTTTGCTGTTTTTGCAGACTTTTCTGATCTGACAATCACGTGATTGTGTGCGCGAGTCTTCATGCGCTTTTGTCCTTGCTCTGATGTCGCCTGTGTTCACGTTGACGAATGGGCCGCGTGACTTATGGATGTCACATTACCGTGAACATGTCACTCGAATAGAGCCGTCAGCCGTAATAGCCGCGCGCTCCGTGCCGGAGGTGAGAGGGATTCGATGATGATGATGATGATGATGAGATCTCTCCCGTAATATCATAAAGCAGTGTTTAAATATTTTAATTTCATTTGTCAAGCCACCGCCTTCCCCTCACTCCATTACTCTGCTAACCATCCCTCATCAGCCGAATTAGTGCATTATTCATCAGCACTAATTATTTTCACATAATGTCTGCCCCGATATATTTAACCCTCACATTATATCTCCCCATAATGGCCTTGTAAAATTGAAGTGGAGTTGGAAAGCTCATTTAAAGAACATCAAAGAGATGGGAATGAGTGAGATGGGAGGCTGTGGAGTTAAACACTTCGGGTCGAGGGTCCCCACTGAGTCGGGACATTTGTTCCTGTCCTGTCTGATTTGCATGGTGAAGGAGAGGATAGGTCGATGGGAGAATACTGAATGAGTGTGTGTGCTCCGGTCTAGAAGCCTACAGTGAAAAATGGTTCTTGATAAGAGGAGGGCTGGGCGTTGAAGCACTGAGGCAGAAGAACAGTAGACATGGCTTTGGACTCCAGTGAATCTTCAATTAGTGGCTCTTTTGGCTGTTCAGGGATAGTTTATTGACTCACCCTCATGTTTTTCCAAACCAGTATGAGTTTCTTTCCTCTTTTGAACACAAATGAAGAATGATGGTAACCAGACTGAGGATGGTAGGAATTGACTTCCATGGTATTTTTGGAAGTCAACTGTTTGATTACAGATATTCTTTAACCCTTATGCTGCATTAGGGACATTTTTGGTCTTTTGCAGTTTAATTTCTTTGACCATTTTGGCTGTTTTAATGCAAATGGTATGAAATTTGGCAAAATTGTGACTTTTTGGATACATGTAAAAAATGGGATCCCATTTTGCAAAATATGTATAACACACACTGTGTAGATCAAATAGTAACAATCAGCACCATAAAGACCAAAAATGGCCCATTGAAACCCATTAAAACGTTGTTTAAATCTGAGGCTGTCAGTAATACATGAAACATGATTTTTGCACAAACATCCTTTCATTTTGAAGCAAAAGCATTATATTTGCATTATATAGTGTATTCCACCAGATGACGTCACTACATATTTATTCCCTATGGGTGGAAATGCACCTTATTTTAGGCAATAGGCAATGTTTAATAGGTGGCCATTTTTGGTCTCTAACGCGCTAAGTGGGATTTTTTGCAAAGTGGGACTGTGATAATCCAAATCTAAAGTTTTCTCTTTGCATTTAGTTTATTAAAAAAATTATTGAATTTTTGTGTTTTTTCCTCTTATAAATCGATGGTTTGGCAAACAAAACTGGTAATTAAAGGGTTAAAATCCTGAAATTGAATACATTTTTGGTAGTTATGATGAGGACTGATGCTGGTTAAAAGATTTAACTTGGTAAAAGTGGAAAATAATAATAATATATAATATTTTAGGCAATGTTTAATATGTGGCCATTTTTGGTCCTTAATGCACTCAACAGTGTTAAAAATCTAATGCAGCACAAGGGTTAAAATGTCATCTTTTGCGTTCAACAGAATAAAGAAACTCGTACAGGTTTGGAATAACATCAGGGTGAGTTAGTGATGACAGAAATGTTTGGGTGAACTATCCCTTTAAGTCTTCACACGTAACGTCCATGTTAAAACTTTCATCACGAAACACATCACACTTTTTGGAGAAAAAAAGTTAGCGAGCAGCATTCAGTATGGATGGGTATCAATAATATGTAAAAGTCATAAAATGTCAATCAAGTCCAATCAGCTTTTTCGACAAAAAAAAGTGTGCTTTGATTATATACAGAGAGAGGATATTTCAAAAATCTGAGAATGAGACAAGCCCGAAATGGAGTAATTAGGACATTTAAAGGCAGGGTAGGCAATTTCAGAGAGATTAGCAACAGAAACACAGAAATCCAAGTCTGAAGAAGTGAACAACTCTGGGTTTATCTTGTAATTACGGTAGTTATGACGAGGCATGAACGCATGTATTTATGTAAATTTCTTTTAATAGTTAGACCACTTCTATAATTGATTGCTATCAGAATGTGATGAGCGTTTCAACCAGAATTGCCTTACCCAATAGACCTTTTGCACCAGAGAAACAAGGGCGCCGCCATCTTTAAAATATTGTCTTTGAACTTCCAGGTTTTGCGGTCGCTCTGTATATCTCTATGGCATTGCTGTCCAGGAGTAATTCACTTTGAAGTGGATTTACTTAATATAAAGTTAACGAAAGTTATCATGAGGATTGTA